TGGATTTTTATTTGGGTGTCACATTTGTTATAGAGTGATCGCATGCATACACAACTAGATGAGTTTGCGGTAGATAGAAGGAATTGACGTTTCGCCATGAATATTATAGTTTTATTCTCGTATGTTGTCTATAGTCTATACATTCAATTCGAGCGTTATTATATTTGATAAAATTAGGTTGTTCTAGTATTATGTATGCATATATTTCACATCCTATTTGAAGTAGTGTAAGGAGTAGAAGTATAACGAGAAATATCTTATGGTCGAATGTTCGTACATTTACGCTTGAGTAATCAATTGTTACTTTATTAATTGGTAGCATTTTGTCACTCCTTAACCATCTCTCTTGTAAAAATTCTCACGTCTAGCTCAATGTCTTATCCCCATTTACTATGGTCTATGGAATGTAAGGTAAGAGCTAGAAAATTCTTAACATTGTCAAGCAGCGTAAAAAAAAAGGGAATTAATTAACGGATGAAACAAAAGCCGCACAGCATCTTTTCATGCAAGTAAATCCAAAGAACGTAATTAATGATTACACTTCGTACCGTTTTATTCTATGCACCAGAACAGTTTTTGTATCCGACCCATAAAACGGACTAGATCAACGGGCATAGGCATTCCCGCCGGAGAAGAAAGAAATCCTAGCGGCTCCCTTCAAATTCAAGCTCATCCTCCCGCGGATTTAAGATTTTTTTTGGTAGAACCGCGGATTTAAGATAGGGTAGAGTATTGGACCAAATTTGAAAAGAGGTCAGTAGGATTGGACCGTAACCTTAGATCCGCCGTTGATCCTTCCTCGTGTAACCTGTAAAAAAGTATGTCTTGATCGAAAAATTTTGTATTCGAATCTCGAAAATATTAAGTATCCATAGTTGAAATAGCCACAATGTATGACGAGTACTATGAAAAGTGAAAATTTTAACGTCACGTTCATCAATAAAAGAGACATGTAAAAGAGTAGTAAAAGAAATCGTATAAGCTCCCTTATGCAATATTAAACTAATAAGTTCTTGACATCCATCTTCCACTTCAGTTAATGCGACTATAATGATTCCATTGGATACAAATATTGTATTGATATATATGTCGTTGAGAAAAAACCTATAGGCTTTTGTTGGAACCTTCGATTCTAAACGTTGTATTCTGAGTACACGTGTATTCTTCATAACACATGTATTTTTAGTATCCATAGTTCCTTTTAATGTATAGTCCATGCATTATATATTTGCCAAACAAAGCATTTTTAAACCCCCACACATTCTTAGCATACACGTAATTTTAATACACACATTATTGTAACATACCATTTCCGGAATCAAAGGTTCCAAACAACCCCTGATTTCATAATTATTAGATACGGATAATTTTATTAATAATTTAATATAATATACATATCCAACTACAGTAAATTGTGTAGCACGAATCTAACAACGACATAAATCATCGACACAAACACCACATCCAAAATCTCATCATTTTTTCCTACCAATAATGGCCAATTATATCTATCTACAAGCTGCTTGATCCTCAAAATCTTTATCATCATGAGAACACGCATGCTCTTTTTTATCATTTTCCCCCCTTCTTTTTAATGACGTCATATTACCTTCTTCCATTGGTGTCAAATTTTGGAGGAAGCATTATGCTGTCGAGAGATGAACCGTCCATGTGTCCAGCTACCATTGGAGGGAAAGCCGACGGTGGGCCCCGCAGGCTAAAAGAGCAAAAATAGAAACGGCACATGTGGCCTGTGGGTACTAAAACGAAACTAAACCCATTAATAGTGGGCCCTTATCATTAAATGGGCCCCCGGTGTCCCAAAACCCGTGGGCGCGGCCGCATGGATAACATTAAAAGTATTCATTAATAAAACCATGGATATTCTGCAATAATTAACTAAATCTAAATAATCTAACATAAAAAAATATATTTAAAAAAAAAATAAAAAGAGAGGAAATTAGGTATCCACATATCATCCTTAAGCAATTTGAAGGCAGTGTTCCCTTTCCCACCTCCAACTGACTAGCTTCCAGGTCAACTTCCTTATCCTCTTGTTCTAATAGACTACTACTTCTTCTAGGGTTATTTTGTTTTCTTTCCCCCTTGGTCTTGAATCTTGATAGATAGACAGAAGAAGTGAACATCACTCAATGAATTAGATTCCTACATATCCGATTCATTCGTACTATCTGAAGTGATCGTACTAGTAGAAACATTATAAGCGTTAGAAACTGACGATGAGAGTCCTAAACGATGTTAAATCGATACATGGATCGCAACTAATTGGAGGGTGCTTCTCCAGAAAGATTTGGATGCTTGCTCTGCTCCCAGCTAATCCAGCATGTTACCATCCACCCCCTGTATCAAGCCTCTTGATCGTACCAGCATATCACAGTAATCGGACGTACTCATATTTACAGAGAGAGTATTAATGTTTGCGGCTGATAACCCGGCTCACCAAATTCAAAGATGCGACGACGTTACTGACAACCGTAATGAACTAATGATAATTTGTTACTTGTTCATTGACTATTTGTTTAAATTATGGCATCAATTTGGTATGTGCATTAATATGATCTCACTCATTTCTGGCATGCAAGATTACACAATTTGTTAACGGGTAAATGCCACATCTGGTCACTAAGATTACTAAATCGTGTTATGTTTAGTCACTAGAAAAATTTAATATCAATTTCGGTCACTCGAATTACTGAAGCAGGTCACATTTAGTCACTCTCCCGTTAGCCTCCGTCAAACTCCAATCACTCGAATTACTGAAACATGTCACGAAAGAGTTACTAAACATGACACGATTTAATAATCTCAGTGACCAAATGTGACATTTACCTATTTATTATGGATAAAACCTAAATCACTTTCTTTTGACCTTATCGCGCACAAAGGGTCTAAAGGGAGGCATATTTTGGAATGATGATGTCTATTTGGATCATATTTTGTGCTGTTTGTTTTACCATTTGTGGAAATCCAATTAGGGATAAGTTTTATAGCCAGCTAGGTTATGTTTGTCGATAGTAATCTCTCTGTTTATCTTTTGGGTTTGGCCCTAACATTAATTATTAACATACAACTGTCTAAAATGATTCTTCTAACACTTCAACCGGCCGGCAGCTTCCACAAAAGAAGAGTCGTAGATCCCACTTTTGTTCCTTATTCAAAATAAAGTTTTAATTAACTGATTAGGTGGCCACACAAGTCAAATGTCTCTTGCTTTTGTCCATTACCAATTTTGTGATTTACTAAGTGGAATTTATCTTAATTGGAAAAAGTACTTATACTTAGAAAAAAATTCACTTTTTTAGAAATAAGAATAAAATTGAAACTATTTATGTAAAAAAGAAACAAATTCAATTTCCTCCAATATCTTAACTCTTTTTGGTCCTTCAACTCTGAAAAGAATAATATACATTCTTCAAATGAAAATAACAAATTTCAAACAACAAGAAATTTAAAGAGTGTTAATTCGTCACCGGTCATCCTAAACCAATAAACCATATATGATCATAAAGATAAAAGAAAAAACAAAAGAGCAATTCATTTCGATTATTCTTATCTTTTTTCATTACATGATCGACTATTATGTTGTGACAAAGTAATTAGACTTTCGCGGAGACAGATCTGGATCTAAAAAACTTCATAATTTATTTGATGCCCCATCAAAAGAGTACCGGCATGCAATACTTGCGCTCTATTCGCCTGCAACCATTTGGACGTCTTTTATCGCATGATATTTGCCTTACACGATTTTCCAGTTCCCATTCGCAAACACGTTCTTAGTAAAGTCGTTAGTGTATCAAGGGAAACACATGTTCGTCTCCGCTAGATCAATACTTTTGCGGCATTTAGGGGTCGTTTGCTTGTGGGATTTGGGTGTTGTACCAGGATGGTATGAAAAAAAATCCAAAATATATTGAAATTGAATATAATTTTGTAGATCACAAAGAACCCGTTCCACTTGTGAAAAAATTAAAATCCGATTAAAAAAAGTTATAAGCCTTGTCGAATAGCCGAATCAAAGTATAGTGTTGAACAAGTAGGCAATAGGGGTAACAATTGAGTTTTATAGTGACAAACTAAATAGAGTCGGTAATAGTAATTCTACTGTTGTTAAAAAATATGCTAGACGTGGTATAAATTAGATGAACTTTTTCAATTAGATCGTGCTACTTTGAAATCAGACGATGTTTCTTGCTTAGTGGAACCATCCAGTACCATATACATGATAGATCTTTCAAAGAACATGGTTTTTTTTTTCCCGAATAGAGCGAATTCATTTGGGATCCTGTAGATCCACTCTTTTTTCTTATTCAAAGATCAGCATTTTGTCTCTGTATCTTCACATCGAAAATTCTTTACAGATGAAAAGATGTCTTCTTACATCCCAAACAAACCCTACTCTATGAACGATGGTTCCAATTTTAAAAAGTAGGAAAAAAAATCTTTCAATTTCACCTCTTTGGATATAAATTTATTTAAAATCAATGACCAACAATTACATTTATTTTATTAATATTTTTTTTATTTACCTGAATTAGGAAAAAGAGCATATGAGAAATTAAAGAAAGTAAATGTCATTACTTTAGGAGGCAAAGGATAACGACCGTTTTCTCCCTCTCTTCTTTCCCCCTTTTTTTTCTTTTGCAGGCAACAAGAAAAGAAAAGAAAGGTGGTGGTGGTGACTAGGATTTTGGATATGTCTTCCCAATATACACTACTGCCCACGATCTTATCCTCTCCCCTTTCTTCCTAGTAATATGGGAGCACCCACAGAATTAAATACTTATTATTAATTATAATAATCCTAATAAATAAATAATAATAAGTTAAAAAACAGAAGAAAATAGGAAACCCCTACCCAGCCATACACTTCCCTCAAAGAAGATGACGATGACAAATCACAACATCATATTTATATAAGATAATAAATATTTATGAATTCTCATTATTAAACAAAAGAAAATGAAATATTTGTCAATTCCATGACATATATAAATAAAAAGCATTATCCTTTGCTCCCAAACCCACCAAAATATTTCTGTTTATGTGTCCCCTTGCTTCCATTCCATTCTGTGTATGCTCTCCAGGTGCATTCTTCCAAGCCTCTCATCACAAATTCCTACAAAGAAAATAATATCACAAGCAGAAAAAAAAAATCTCTGTTTTTCCCCCTCTTCTGTATTCTCCTTGATTTCTTGTCAGAACAAAATCCAAAAAACATGGGGGAAGTTGCAGGAAATCGACATGATCAGGCTTTCTTGGGCGGGTTGAATTTGATGAAGGAGGAGAAGAAGAGATGGGCAATGGAGGAAGACAAATTCTTCTTCGAATCAAGATCTGTTCTTGGCGGTAGTAATAATCATAAGAACGAAGAACAGCCAACTTCATCACAATCATCCATTGGTTCCCCTTCTCTCGACACGACGTCGTCTTGCTTCTCCGATGACGACGACGACGACGCGTCGTCGTCTTCTCGTTCTCCGATGGGTTCGGCCTCGTCCTCCAATTCCTCGTCTTCTTCCACATTGGCTGCCAAGAACATGAATAATAACAGCAGCCCTCTTTACGAGTTGTCAGAGCTAATGTCCCAGCTCCCAATCAAGTAAGCAAAAAAACAACAAACAACCGAATTTCCCCCAAAGTTTGAAGCTTTTTCCCCTGTATTCTAATGGGTTTCTCTCAAATTTTGTCCTCAGGAGGGGATTGTCGAGATTCTACGACGGGAAATCGCAGTCTTTCGCGTCGCTAGGGAGCGTGCAGAGCTTGGAGGATCTGGTGAAGAAGGTGCCATCAGGGAGGATTCTGAAGATGAAGTCGAAGTGCAAGAGCTTCTGTTGGGGCTTGGAGAGGCAGAGGAAGCACTGCTATGGCCCGAAACCGGCCATCTCCAAGAAGGGTGGAGGTTCAAGTTCCAGGGTTTCCTGTTTTTCTTCACTCGCGAAAACGCCTTCTTCTTCTTCTTCTTCTTCTGCTACCGCTTCCTCTGTACATCAAACGAGCTACTTGGTTTGAAAGAGAGTGTGAAATCCAAATCAAACCCATGTTCAGGTTTCAATTTTGGCGGATTGGGTCTTCGTTGTATTGCCATAAAGGTATCGGCTTTATAGCAAAGCACCACCGGTAGTAGTAGTGTTATGATCATGTTTATATGACTGATCAGGTCTCTAATTAGGGTATAGAAGAACCCAGAAAAGAAAGTGATTGATTGTTTGATTACTTACTTACTTACTTACTGACCTAACAGAGAGAGAGATGTTATGGTTTCAACGGAAGGGAAGTTTTCATGTTGTTCGTTGATTTATGAAAAGGGTATTTCTTTTCTGCATTTTTTCTTGTTATCCTTTGTTTCGGTTTCAAAACTGCAAATCAGAACTCTACTGAGAGAGATCAAATGCCTTGCATTGCAAGCTTTGTGTGGCGTGTAGAGGGTCTCTCCTTTTGGAAGAGTTTCCTTTTTTTGGTTCATGAGGTGGGAGAGTTCAGGGGGATTTGGTTTCTTGATGGAGTCACAAATTCTCTCATTGACTTTGACTCCCAATATTAGGAATTTTCAACGGACTCCTCCTAATCTTACTACTCTGCTAGTATGGAAGAAAGAAAGCTGAAAATGGAAACCAACTAGTGTGCATAATCACTTATTTAAAGTTTAAAAGCTTATACATTTACCATTCTACGCAGACTCGTGATTTAGATTGTCTCGACATTTCCCCTTAACCAATCAGCATCTATTTAAAGTTTAAAAGCTTATACATTTACAGTTACAAATTACCAAAACAATTCTACGTAGAATCATGATTTAAGCCATAAAAACTTATTTTACCATTATAGATCACCCAAACATTCCTATATAAAATGGTGTTCGTGCTTTTCCTTTATTAATGTAGTCAAAATAACACTTTAAATCTTAAAAACTTTCGTTTTTACTCTTTTTAAATCATTAAAACACTTTTATATAAAATCGCTTTTTATTCTTCTAAATCATCAAAACACTTCTATATAGAATCACATTTTTGACTGGTTTGCAATTTGCGGCCAACAATTTGGATTTTTGTGAGGGGTTTTTGTTCTTTTGTTTGTTGTCCAACCATGGATGAGAAATTGGGCAAATGGGAATCCATGGCCTGCCCCAAAACCAAAAGTGTTGCTGTGTCTTGACCCAAATTTTGTCATAAGGGTACCATAAAGAACAAAGAAGGAACCATTGTCGACAAGGGAGACATTTCAACCGCCGAGAAAATGATGGGATATTGCCATATTGGTTATTTATAGCATACGTATTACACGGACAATTCACTGGGCGAGTGGTGAGTAGGATGGGTAACGGCAGGCCATCAGCCTGAATACTTCTTAAAGTATTTGAATTTGAAACCTCCGAGTTTTAGACTAGTGGTGCTAACGGTGCACAATTGTTCTTAATTTCATCTTTGATTTAGTCATACCTGTTTTAGTTTGGGTTAATACCCTAATTTGGCCCGAAGTTTAACGTTAGTGACAGTTTTGACCCCATTTTTTAAATAAGACGTTTATGGCCTACTTTTGAAATTATTGGACAAATTTGGCATATAGGAATGTTTGACCGTCAGAATTAACGGTCAACCATTTAGCCCGTTAATGACTCAGCTTTCACCGATGACTAGACTCATCCACGTCATTTGAAAATTAAATAAAAAACAAAACAAAACAAAGGGGAATGGTCCACCACAACAAAACTTTCCATTTCATTCCTTATCCCCTTTCTTCCTCTTTGTCGTCTCCTCCTCACCCAGCCTGATCGAGACACCGAACATAATCGAGGCAAGCCCGATGGCGACCCCGACCTAGGGAAGACGGTCCACTTGAACTCCGACGACGACCACCGCCACTCCTACTCCTCTGACTCCCATGCGCACTATCCGACTTCTGCTGGCTTTCATCGTTTGGCGGCGAGATAGCTCGACGGCGGAGATCCCCTGAGGAGAGGAGTTTGCGGCGGCGACGACAGGTAGAGGAAGAGACTAAGAAAGCCAATCTAGTCTCTATAGCTAGTGGAGCCTGAGGGGGAGCATTCTATATGGGCGAATATCTGTTCACGGGAGAGAAAGCTAAAAGGGGGAAAAGTTATGAATAGCTGGAAAAATGCAGATTCATTTGCGCAAGACAAAATTGTCAAAATTGAAGGTATATTGGATGGGGGATATGTGGAATGATGATGGGATGTCATAATAATTGTTGAGAATCATATGTGGGGGTTGAAACTGCAGGTTTTCCCGGCGGCAGGCCTTCTTTCCCCCGTCGATGGCGTCAAGGGCTATGCTCGCGAACTGCGGATAGAAGTCGCCGTGGGGTCGAAGTCCAAGTTGCAAATCGTGTGGGCGGGGATGATCTCGAAAATCCCCAACTGCTTCGTCATCTCCGGCGCGGTCGCTGTGGGGAGCCTTTGAAGCTGCAGTGACTTCCTCGGACGCGGTGCGGCGCCGGCTAAAACGGTGGGGAAGATGAAGATGAAGCTGCCCGCGAGTGTTTAGATAAGGAGGCAGCATATAGATTTAGGGTTTCGTTGGGGGATTTTGGGATAAGAGGGGATTTCTTTAATTTGTTAATTTTGAATTTTAATTGAATTATAAAATTAAAATATTATTATTTAATGATGTGGCATGCCACATCAGCTGTTTTTTTTCTGAATTACTGACGGAATAGTGTTTGACCGTCAATATTAACAGTCAAAGAAAATTTCGGGCCAAATTTGTCCATTAATTTCAAAAGTAGGCCATAAACGTCTTATTTGAAAAATGGGGCCAAAACTGTCACTAACGCTAAACTTCAGGCCAAACTAGGGTATTAACCCTTTTAGTTTTGACAGAGTAGTAACTTTCGGGATCTGATGATGAGAGTTGGAGTGCAAAGCGTATGAACAAACTTTTCAAACCGAAGGAAAGAAGCAGCTATGAGTGTAGATTGTTTTAATATCACTACTGGGAACATCTGTAAATAGCATCCTCAAAAACTCATTCAATACAGTGTGCTTTTTTTTTTGGTTTCTGTCTCGTAAATCTCCTCTCGCAACGGCCAAAATCGACGTATATTGATTGTCGATGGCAGTTTCGGGAGCAGTCGGGAGTACTGAATTTTCATATCTTGTAGACAGGAGTGATTCCAAGAAGGAAGAAGCATTTCCTCATCACCATTGCTGTTGCTTCACACAACAACAACCTGCTTGTTTCCTCCGCCGAACCAATCACCTGCTCCGTCCCACGAAGAGGAAGAAAAACCCAGGTTATTGTACGAGGAACATATCGCATTTTGTTGAGCAGCGATATCGCGGAAGATTTAGTTTAGCAGAGCATTTATTCACCTGACAATTGGAGTAGAATTTGCTGAAGTTTTCAGATAAGTTGTAGAGGTATTCGCAGAGGATGTTCGGCAGTAGGTTGGTACACGCCTCTTCCACAATCTGGATAGTAAGTCACGAGGAGTACATAGAGCCACTATCAGAGACTCGGTAATGATACAGCGGTTGAAAAGGGTAGATTAGTCTACTGGAAAATGTATCACCCCACGTTACCTCAGAAAATCGAAGTAGATGAAGCCCCAGAACACGCTCATCTTGATGCTCCAACGACAATACTCCAGTCTGTTTAACCATGCGAAAATATGAAGACAAGTTCTTAGATCCGTAATCAGCACCAAAACTTATAAAAGTAGCAACTGGCTTCTGGCTTGCAGCATTGAGAAAATATCACAACCCATTTCAAGTTCACAGTGGAAAAAGAAGGATTAATAGGGGAGGAGGCAACTGCTTACTTTCTTCAACTCCTCCACATCTTTGCCGGACTTTCTGATGATGGAACAGATCCTTGCATGTGCGTAGAGCAAATAAACAGCCGTGTTTCCCTGTCCCACAACATTAGGCAAGTAACGAAATTAGCATAAGCAATGACCAACAATTTAAATCATACTACCCGTCTGAGAGAAAAAAAAAGGGGAGCCAGTCAGCATTAGGAAGAATATATAACGTCTCCAAGCTTGGCATCAACAGTCTCGGTTTGATCCTTGACTTGAAACCTACTTTGAGACACTCCCACAAAGAGATGGCCCATACCTTATCATTCAGCATTTGGTCGAAATTGAAAGTATAATTAGTCAACCGATTGTTCTTCAAGTCAGCATACCTGCGGCCACAAAAGTCTCAAGTAGGTTATTCACAAGAATCACGATAAAAGTCATGGACGAACCAAAAGCAATTCCTCATAACAAGGCAAAAGACTAGAGTAACTGCCAGATCTACTACAGAAAATTCTATTGAATAAATTAGCTATTCCACCTCAAATCAACAGCTTTCAATTTGATCCCAAACATAGCCTCACTTTAAAACGTCTCTTTTCTAGCCCAGTTAAGGGATTCCCGCTTATGGTTTCTACACCCAGACAAAAGTAATAATCTTGAAACTTGCAATTATTCACGATTATTTCTTCTTCCAAGTAAAACATTAAATGCCCCACTCATGCTCGGATCAACAAATCTTATAACTTCTGATGTAATTCTGACAAAGAATGTCATAAGTATAGCAATTAACAGCTAGAATAAGCCATGGTAGCATATTGATTCTTACTTCACAGCGCCATAACCAACTGCTTCAGCTGTTTGGTCAATCTCCTCCTTTGTCCAATCTTTATCCTTTTCTGTTGAAAACAAACCAAACTAAGCCAAGTTAGTAGGAAGATGAACTCTGGCACTAAAAAATGAGATATGCAAAATAGATAAAAAAAGGTTCAAAATGTATAAGCAGGAGAAAACGTATATCCGAGTTATCATACCACGCTCTTCAAGCACTGCCTTACTTCGACTCTTGGCTTCGTCAAGCAAATCAACTAACCGAACTACTTCTGTAGATCGAGTTCTGAATCGCTTGCCGTCTTCTCCAAGAACAAGCCCAAAACCAACATGGCTTGTTCTAGGATACTTATTAGCCTCAGTAGGGAGCCAACCAGCAATCTTAGCAGCCTAAATTGTAGAAGAGAAGGAAGATCTCATCGAATTGAAACATCATTTTTTCCACTTCCATTTCTAAATGACTCAAAAGAAGGAGAAAGTATGAAAACAATACATATCCACATTAAATGCATTGAACTTACCTTGAATACCATCTCAAAGTGCTGCTGCTGACCCACATCAGTAACATAGATAATCCATTCAACTTTCTCTTCATTGAGGCGATACCTACACATACCAAGTAGTGGTGTGCATAAGTTTAAGCATTTCAACTAAGATATATACATTTTAGTACTAGAGAATTGAACTAACCAAAGTGCAGTCAGATCAGTAGAAGCATAATTGTAACCACCATCGCTCTTAACAACAATAAGAGGAATATTAAATCCTTCGAGAAAAATTACACGGGCACCCTCACTTTCTTCAACCAACCCTTGATTGGTCAGACCCTCTATAACTGAAGGTATGAATGTATTGTAGAAGCTTTCACCCTGCAGACCAAAAAAAGCACAAACAGCATTGCAGCTTCTAAAATTAGTGCTGTATGGGCACAAAGATGTAGCATAGAACGATGCGTCAAATTGAGCAAGAAATCAATCCAAGACTTCAACCTTATCCCTAGGGTGCACAACATAACCAAAACTCAATTCCTTATGGCGGGAATCCTCCAAGGCGGCATAGAATCACTCGAATAACTTAGTCCTCTAGACCTTTTTCAGTAGCAATATTATCATGCAATATTGATATAAATCTCACCAGAATGACTGGACAACAGATCCAAGGATTCAAGACAAACTGAATAAAGCTTAATGAGACAGGTAAATAAAGGTTATTGCTATACGGCATCAAGTCCAACAGAGATTTGATACATACAAGAACAAGAGGTGAACAACTTTCCCCACACAATACAGAACAATTTCCTAGAAAACCCAAAAAAGAAAGTACCTTTTCCTCTAGCTCAACTTTGAGTCTGTCGTAGACACTGTCGAACTCCCTCCTACTGATTGCACAGATCTGAGCCCAAGCATCTCTGTACCTCTTTTCTCCACCCTGGATTCGAAGGAACAACAAACCTAACAGATGTCCACATTGGTTCTGATGCAAATTCATGATAGTACTTTACAAAAGAACAAACATGCAGATAGCTCAAGGGAGAATTATTAACCTGGAGGCGAACAACTGCTTTCTGTGCGCGCTCTTTAAATTCGGAATCATCATCAAACCTCTGTTTTGATGCCTTATAGAATGCCTAGAAATTATAATAGAAATCATTACTCAGAAATTTCATTCCGTCCTGTTTTCTACAATTAACCTCTCCCTCTAATACAAAAAGACACGTTGCTGTTTAATATGAAACGGACAGATGGGAAAAAATCAATAACCATGTTACAAACATTATAAGGAGAGAAAAAATAGTGTAGGGAAGCATGTCACAACACCTGTAGGTCTCCAATTGCTGTTTCATTAACTGCCTCAATGTTAGGGAACTTCTCAAAGAGGTGTTCTATCAACATGCCAAACTGCAAAATAATGTACATACAATTAGATAAATTCTTACATGAGACGCGAAAATATGCACATGGCGGCCTAAAAGTATTGTGCTATAGATATCAAAAAGAGGAAAATATTCCATAACAGCATACAAAAACAGGTTTCTAAAGTTGTTTTCTGCAAGTACAAAGTATCTTTAAGAGACCTGTAATATAATATCATCTCAAACACAGAGTAATTTCTTGAAGAAAACACATTGGGCAGACACAATTATTGTACCTAGTTCATGAAACCTAGATAACAGATATCTATGACAAATAGTATGACACCCTAGTCAGTGCCAGAAACAGAACAGATTAAACATTTCATACTTTTTACATCCTTTGCTTTCGTGTAGAACAAACAAACTATGTAATCATACGAAAGCTGCAATGCCAGGAATCAAGCATGCACCTATGTTATATTCAGAACAGGGGTAAGCCACATTTCTCGCACCTACAGACTTTAGGCGGTAATTAATACTCGAGTAAACTGAAGATACCTGGGTTCCCCAGTCACCAACATGGTTTCGCCTAAGAACATCAACATGTGAGAATTCAAGCATGCGGGCAATTGTGTCTCCAATAATTGTAGATCGCAAGTGACCGACGTGCATTTCTTTGGCAATGTTTGGCGACGAAAAGTCAACCACAGCCCTCTTAATTGATAACTTAGGTGCCCAAGTATCAATCCCATCAAGAAGCATTTTTTGGATGCTCTGCAACCACACCAAAATTTTCAGTAACGATAATGCTGCGGAATTAGTATAATAAAAAGTGCAAGTGCAAGTCAGGTTAGGAAAACACTAAAGTCAAATGCAGATATACCTTAGACATCCACTTATTTGATAACACAACATTCACAAAACCAGGTCCAGCTACGGAGCACGATTCTATCATCTCTGTCTGAGGGAGATTTTTCATGATAGCCTGAACAGAAAGAAAATATAAATACAAATACAAGAAGTTGTCCAAGCACTATCTCACCAAAAGAAGAGACAAACAAGCTTGTCTCACACAATGAACTGCACGAACTGTAACAAACAAGAAATAGCTGTACCTGTCCAACTGCTGGAGGTCCCCTAAACTGACCACCTCCTTTTCCTTTAAGCTTAGAGAAAAGCCCCATGGCATTATTACTGAAAGAAAGAAAACCAAACCAGCTTAATCTACTAAATACCGCGCCAGAAATCAGTAAACGAAGCACTTGCATATTTCCAACTACTAGAAACCACCAAACTCGCTTGATAACTAGTTCCTTTATACTGAAAGCACACAAATTCGAGCTCAATCTTACCACTGGTAGTCTCCAAATCTACCCACCGTGCTTGCAGCAACAATAGGTTCCACATCGGCCTCCTCTGGGACCGTTGCTTGAAGCGACAATTCAAACACTTTCGCTATCAGTCTCTTCACATTACCAACATTCTCCTCATCCTGCAAAAGCGTCGTTCAATCACCATACCAAGCAACAACTCAGCAAAAGGGCGGGAAAACAGTTCACACAGTTCCAGAAAGCGCCGTCAATGTCAAAAACGAACTTACATTCGCCATGGTGGAAATCGATTCCGTCCTAGCAGAAAATGCAAGCGTCCTCGAACTCACTCTCAGCAAGCCTGTCTAGTTTCACAACATAACAGCACGACTAAAATGAACTTTACAGAATTACTACAACAGAAGCTCAACCCAAGCAGCTTCAACAACCTAATTCGAACTGATTGCATGCAAGATTATGATTAGATAAATCGCAGAATCAAAAAGCACGGATGCTCGAGGAATCGGCTGCTGCGGCGGCGGCCAGTGGAAGAGACTGCAGAATGTGAGAGGATGGATTACGGGGGAGAGCTTACCGGCGGCGGGCAGTGGGGACGAGCGGAGACGAGAGAGGCGACGGAAGGAGAGCAGCGAGGGAGAAGAGGCCGGCGGGAGGAGAAGAGCTATGGAGGAGCATAACATTGCGTTTTGGTCCGCTTCCTCCTATTTAACAATGGGGGGAAAAGGGGAAACCCTGGCTGACTCGGTTTCCTTCACTCGGCTTTGGGCTTTGGACTCCCCCTACCGTTTTCCGTTGTAGGTAGGTGCAGCAGTTTCCTTCCTAGCCTCCAATTTTCTTGCTGGCTACTCTTCTTGCGTGGTCTTGAGATATCTGTCGGACCCATAGGACTTATGTGCAACACTCGGCTATTTTATTCGGAACTTATTCACAGAAGTAGCCAAGCAGGGTAGAACATTTCAAACCGAAAACTGACCTACCCATCCAATTCGAGTCCTTCCACCCATAAAATAGGAGAGTTAGCAAAATATATATGTTGATTTGACTTGAATCGGACTATAGCCGCTATGACTGGAAGTTACGGGTGTATAATCTCAATGTTATTTGGATTTGTGTTCTGTGTCTGTAACTGTTTTTCCTTTACCATATTGGATTAGGGTTAGACCTAGGAGAAATACTATAAAATACTTCTCATACTCCTCTGTAATCTGTATCTCCTTGAAGTATAGTGAAACTGACTCTCTCCTGCACGTGAACTAGCTAACACATTGTGTTAGAGCAACCGTCGTGACAATATGGGTGGGTGAGGATTTTTGGATTTATCTAATATACCACCAAAAAACTAAAAAATTCCAAAAATATCACAATTTCCAAAAAATTACATTCATACCACCCTTTCACAAGGACTGCATCCTCTCATGACGGTTAAAACGAGGAGCGCAGGGAGTGTTGCGGTTTTCATTTCCGCCGCCTACAGAACGCGCGTGGTGGTCGTGGTCAGATTGACTTTGCCTCACCTCAAAAATCCCCGCCAAACGGTGACAACCCCGCGCGGTTTGCATATTGAACGCGGAAATCACCACACACCCTGCGGTTTGCATTTCGAACGCGGAAACCGCCGCACCCCTGCGCTCCTAGTTTTCTTTTGGGGTTTAAGTCGATCAACAACAATTGAGCAAACCAACAAAGGCGAAGAACGTAACTTGAGCAAACCAACAAATTCGAATAACATAACTTGAATGGCAACAAAGTCCAACAATATTACTTGAGAAACCCAACAAAGAGCAAACCAACGGTAGAGAAATTATAAAGTAATCTATATGCCATTATCTACATTGGCAACATCATGCCCCAAATTTTGAGGGTCGATTGGTCCAGTACAATTTCGTTTATCATGACCTGGTACTTTGCATATGGACAATGTATTGGTCCTCGTGGTGGTCTTCCAGATTGATCCATCTCGTTGGGAATTCTTTTTATCCTCAGTCGTCCCCCGTTCACGCCTCTGTCCGAATGGTGGGATGATCACATTTCCTTAGTTATACTGGCCAGTAAGTTTCGTCCGGCAATGAACGGAAACTCTTTGCATCAGATTTTTTGAGCGAGTCGATATTGAAGAAAGAACTCACGAGGTGGAGGGGCTCTTTGCTCCTGGACTTGATTATGACCATGGCACGAGAACAAGACAATCATCTCCCCCAATACTTCTGGCAGAAGCACTCCCCTTGTTTTGTCGTTAAGTTCACCTTGACTTCATGGCGATGCCCCCACGTCTGCCATCCTTCCAATGTCCGGTCTCAACTGTATACTCACCAACATCTCGGTTCATGGTGATGAGCCTATGTCGACTGCTCTTGTGTTTGTACCCGTCCATGATATCTAGGGCCTTATCAGAGTGGACCGTAACATGTGTCTCATTCGCCCTTGCCCAGTGGAGTCGATTGACGAACCATCCATTCGTTCTCGAGAATGTCATCTCAACAATGGTAGAGACTGGCAGTGCACTAACAACCGTGTAGACGGAGTTTATATTCTAACTTGAGTTCGTTGTGGCAATACCCCACCTAGTACCTCCGCCCTTATGAAAAGTCCACATGGATATGTCATGTTGATCAAGCAACTGCGCACCTTTAGGGCACAGCTCACGAATCTTCTACAACTTTTGCATGAATTTCTTCTCTGGGTAACTAATAGTTGCGGCCTTGTGGGACATAACGAAGCGTTAACAATTATGTACAATGACCCGAGACCTACATAACTTGACTGTGATATAGAAAGCTTACTAGTCGCCAAACACGAGGGGCATGCTTTCTGCTTTCCATGCCACGCCTTCTTATAGTTAATATGATATCCATAATAACTTGAAATGTGAGCGATGACTGTTTTCACTTTCAGATAGAGTTGTTGCTTAATCGGGTGCTTGATAGCCACGACAACCACCCTCGAAGTCAACTGATGATGGCCTTGGGATGTTATGGATGACACACATGTGTCGGTGTTCACCGCACGAGTGATGACCCAATGACCGATTCTTTTGCTCTTGATGGCCCCAACCCTAGCCTTGCATCCCTCCTGATTATTACGACATCTAACTATTAGCCTCTCTGAATCAGAATGTGGTGTGCGCCATTCAAATAATTAGTCACAGATTGGGCAACATAGAGTTCCTCCTACATTTTTTACATATATTGTAATAATTTTTCACAAATATGGTGGCAACAAGGTTACATAATGTGAATTATACCTTATCGAATCAATTTGAATGGAAACATTCACATATTAGCAAATGCTCACTATGCTGTGTATGCTCTATTGCAAAAGAAGCCTTGTTATAAGAACCGAACCGGATCAACGGCCGGGCCAGTAGAACCGTCAAACCAGTTACGATAGCGGTTCGGTTCATTGTTTGAACGGTTATTGATGGACCAAATGGTTTTTCACGGTTCAACATAAAATCAGATGAACCGACACGGTTTAACTGGTCCATTGGTTCACTATTTTAACGAAAAAAAAAATATTTTAACATAAACTAAGACCATCAAATCATAATTATTTATTTTATATATGCTTCCTCAACCTTATTGTCGATTTTACATTGCATACTACCAACTAGAACCGTAATTTTTAATTTGAATTAAAAAATATGGTTTCTTTTGTGAGATGGTTGGAATGATTTATTAGATATTTTCGTGATGATATGAATTTGAACTTGTTTATGGTCAATGATAATTTCATTCTTAAATTAGTGTAATATACAAGCCTTATATGTTATATATCATTAACGGTTCTACCAACGATTCACCAATGGTTTTGTAACGGTTAACCAGTGAACCCTTAAACCACTAACTTTTCCGGTTCAGTCTCCGGTCCGGTTCTGAAAACAGAGAAAAGAAGAAAAAGGTCAGTATGCTCACAACAAGACCAAGTCACTCACTGACCCAATCCAAGAACAAACACGGCAAGTCGGCAAGGACAAGAGGCCCAGCGAGCATCCCTATGTCGTCCCACTCTCGGCCCAAGTCCATCAACGGCTGATCCGATGCCCGGCCGTGACACTCAGAATGGGGCCCAGTCGCTCCTGACAAACACCCCAAAATTATTGCTGAGAAATTAATAAAAAACAAAAATAGACAATAATTTTTTTCCGGGGTTGGTTCTTATCCATTTACCGTGGTCCAATCACAGCACTCCACCACCCGCCAACGCCCACTACCCTTCTCCTGCCCACAGTATTTCCCGGATCTCGAGCTATATAAACCAATCCCTGTTCCTTGATCGCCGCCCTCACAGTTACAGAGATCACAAATCATTTTTCCTTCATCCATTTGCGCTTTCGTAAGAATCGTTGAGAGAGAGAGAGAGTTTGTCGGAATGAAGCAGGCCGGGAAGAGTCACAAGGTAGCTCAGAATGGCAGCGGCAGCAAGGCGACGGCCGATGCTCGGAAGGACAGGAAATCGGCCACCGGTATGAACGGATCGCCGAAGAAAGGAGGCCACGGAGGGAAGTTCACCTGGATCGGCGGCGACGGCTTCTACTCGCGCGAGGAGATGTTTCCCCGCGGCGGGGAAGCGGTCGATCTGAAGGATCCGAACTTCGAGGAGCCGGAGATGGTTGCGGAGGAGGAGAAGGAAGAGGGAGGGATCCAGGCCGCCTGAAGGAGATCGCGACCGCCGCAACCATCGCCTGGAGACTGGACGTTAGCGAGCTGTAAATATTAATTACTGAATCGTGCTGTTATGGAGTAGATTTAGTCTCCTCTTTTTTACTTGGTTTAATTGTAGTAGTAATAAAAGGGGATCTGTAGAGGCGTGGTGTGGTGGCTGTACTGGCATTCGGTGAAATTTGATGAACTAAAGCTCTGATTTCCGTTTTGACTGTAAATTGGTTTCTGTTTGAGGACTAATAGAAGATCACTTTGATTTTGAGTTAGCCAAATGGAAATCGACATTGTTGTTCAGGGAGCCTCAGCCCTCGGTTTGCTTGCGGAATCCGAGAGTGATGAAAGGCAGTCCCGCTGTCATGGTTGTTGGATGGATGTGATGTTAATTTGTAAATAAATTCTTATGGCGTTTATTCAACGATCATAGATGCTTTGCGCTAATCCAAAAATGTCTAATTTCTATTATCAAGTGCGCACAGTCAAATCAGGATGTGAGCACCACAATCGAATTGGAATGTGAGAAAATGGGAGAGAAAGGAAAGGAGAAGAAGGAGAAAAGAGTTGGGGTAATTAGTATAAATGGTCACAAACCTTTGCACTTAGTACAAAACAAACCTTTGCACTTAGTACAAAACAGTCACAAACCTTTAATTTGTAACCATTTGATAATAAAGCTTTTTTACTTAGAACAAAACGGTCACAAATTAAACAGTGTGACCATTTAATACTAGTTCAAACTTTTGTTACCGTGTCGTTGCAAATTAGACTTTTGGTGACCGTTTTGTTCAAATCAGGTTCAAGAGTTTGAACGCTCAATCAACGTTACAATTCACTCTAGTTGTATGGTGGTTTTGTTAATGTATGTGAATGATATTATGTTGTTTTGGATGACAATGAGAGAATTCAATGGCTCACAAACGGGTTCCAGACTGCTTTTTAGTTGAAAAAACTATGTCTACTTTCTTACTTTCTTGGTATCGAAATTGAAAGGTCAACTGAGGGCATTCTTATTCGGCAAAGCAAATATGTCAATGAACACATGACTTGACATCTTATATGTCGTTCAAGTGGTTAGTGTCATATACTTAACGAACAAACTACCCGACCTCAAAACATGACAAACATTTAATTTGTAACGATTCGGTAACAAACCTTTGCACTTAAAACAAAACGGTCATAAATTAAATAACGGTGACCATTTTATACAATTTCAAAGTTTTGTTACCATATTGTTACAAATTAAAGGTTTGTGACCATTTTGTACTAAGTGCAAAGGTTTGTTACCATTTATGCTAATTACCTGAAAAGAGTTGCATCAAAGAAGACTGTGTCAATCAAAAAAATTCATTGCCTATTTGGGTTGAACTTTTATTTTGTCGCTGGTCACTATCCAATTCAACTCTCTTAAATCCGTTTTAGGTGACAGTCAATCACAAAATTTGACGGTTAATTAGGTGATGTGTCGATTAAAAATAGTAAAAACAAATAAGTTTCATTTTTCACCTCACCATTTATGAAGTAGTGTCATGCAACGATGTATGCCACCACTCCTCAAGAGCATGTTAGAGCATCTCCAACAATGCAATCCTTCTTCACTTTTAAGTGTGGTCCCTACTGCCACCTAAGCAACTCTAGCAATTACTTCACTCATCAATTTCATACTAGCTACATCAATGTTATTCCAATGCAATTGCACTTCTGGGTCCCACTTACATTTTAATACCACACAAATGGTTGGGAAAAGAAGAAAGAAAAACAAAATCAAACAAAGGACCCACTTGCAATTGCATGTCAGATTTTCATGGTGTGCAAATTTTCATCTCTTGAAAGTGGTCTTGCATCAATGCCATCCACTTTTTCAATTGCACATGGCTGCCACCTCAGCTTGCAATTCCCTCCATTTGCACCATTGGAGATGCTCTTATGTTGCCGATGCTATAGTGGGGAATCCCAATGGAAAAACCTATAATTCGCGGTGACAAAATTATTTAAACTTAACTAGGGTTTTAACAACAAATCACAGTCCAATCGGTTTTCAAACTCCAACGTTTTGTATGCTTCAAGAAACTTTTTGATATGTTTTAAAAAACTTGTAATACGCTTTTATGAGATTTCTGGTATGCTTTAAGAAACTTGTGGTCAACTTTGAGTTTTCTTGTATGCTTTATGAATTTTGTTGATGATGGTGTTTTGATTTGTTTTATAAATTTTTTGGTCGACTTTATGTTAATTGGTGGCGAGGGCAGGAAGCAAAACAAATTAGCAGCAGTACATGCATGTGCCCTTGTAATTTTTAAAAATGATTAAAAAAACATCAATTATGATTATGACCTACCTCTTAGAAATAAAAAATCATCAAAACAAAATATGTCTAATTGAAAGCTGAAACTTGTATTAGCACAATGCTAACAAATTAGGTGTTAAGACTCTAACCATGAGTCCATGACGTCCAAGCCACCTCAAATTATTTCATAGTGTTAACCTTTTTAATTATTTTCATCCACATAAATCATACTGGACCCTAATCATCAGGAATCCCCAATCCCCGAAGGCAACAAGCCTGCGCTGTGCGCTATGATTCCCCGAAACGGCTAGAGTTTCGAAACGCCGTTGCCTGTGGGGAAAACCGAAGCAAAATCCACAAAACTATACGCAACCATTCGCTCCGCTCTTTTCTCCTCTCTCTCACGGCTCCGGGGAACAATCTTCTTCTTCTTCTCTACTCGCCTGCCAGAGAGGCGCTACTTCTTTACCAGCTCAAACTTCGGAAGCGGGCAATCGGGTCTCGGGACGAGCCCGCCTCATGCGAATTCCGGCCGGTGGAGTGAACGCCGGCGAGAAGTGAGCCCACCGGGGAGAGAACGAACGCGAAATTTTTCGGAATGGGAAATAAGATCGCGCGCACGACGCAGGTCTCTGCTTCGGAGTACTATCTCCACGATTTGCCTTCTTCCTATAATTTGGTTCTCAAGGAAGTCCTTGGCCGAGGCCGCTTCTTCAAGACCGTGCTCTGCAAGCACGACGAAGGCTTGGTCCTCGTCAAGGTCTATTTCAAACGCGGCGACTCTATCGATCTGAGGGAGTACGAGCGCCGCCTCTCCTTCATCAAGGAAACCTTTCGCTCCCTCGATCATCCTCACGTCTGGCCTTTCCAGGTTCCTTACTTGTTTCTCGCGCTGCTATCCCCCTACTACCTCCTTGATTTGGTTCATTTGGCGAACGCTTAATTACTTAGCATTTTGGAGTTCATAGTCAGTTGTCCAATTTCAATATGTGGTTCTTGTAGAATTGGAGTAGGGTTCTGATTGAGTTAAAGCTCGTAATGAGCCGAGATTTGACCTAGCTTGAGCTCAACTTGTCAATAAACGAATCTAGCTCGAGCTAGGCTCATTTACTGAAACATCACTTCATGTTTGATTCAAGCTCGTCTCGAGCTTGATTCATTAATGAGTTCACGAGCTCTATTCGAGTTCAACTCATCAAGCAGCTCGTGAGATCGAATGTGAAAACTTCGTAGACTTTTGTTTTCTGGAATTCCTCTTAATGGGTTGCCTTTTTAACAGTTTTGGCAAGAAACTGACAAGGCAGCTTATCTTCTAAGACAATGCTTCTTCAACAATCTGCATGATCGACTGAGTACCCGGCCATTCCTCAGTCTTGTGGAGAAAAAGTGGTTGGCATTTCAGGTGTTGTACATGTCTCTCTTTGGTGAATTGGAGAATATATGTCCAATGAGTAATGTTGCTGATGTAATGAATTGGTGCTTCTGTGGTTGTGCAGTTACTTCTGGCTGTAAAACAGTGCCATGAAAAGGGTATATGCCATGGTGAGTGTCGAATGTGATTATTGAATCAGATTGCTGAGGAGTGGCTGGTTTTCTAATGTATTCCCATCTGTACGTGCATAGGTGATATCAAGTGTGAGAATGTGTTGGTGACTTCATGGAATTGGCTGTACCTTGCCGATTTTGCGTCTTTCAAACCAACTTACATTCCGTATGATGACCCCTCTGATTTCTCATTCTTCTTTGACACGGGTGGACGCAGGCTCTGCTATCTTGCACCTGAGGTGAATTTTTATTTATACCTTTTCCCTTCTCTTTGTCCTTTATGTTGATTTCAGTTACCTCCACTTCATACACCCGTGGCTTTTTGTTGGAATAAGAGTAGCCCGAACTAGTTTTTCTTATGAATAGAATGGTCCTAGTAACCTACCCTTGCTTTATTGCCAGAAATGTTATCACCGTTTCAAGTCTTTCCTTTCAATTATCGTTTTATTTTAATTAGTGTCATCGAGCGTCATTTTCAAAATTGTGCCTGTCATGGATAGCAGATATCACACTTTTAAAATCACAAAGTATTTATTTATCTTTTCGCTGAAGATGCAGGGCTGCTTTCATTTTAAATTCATGCCAGCCTCTGAATCTCCCGTTGTCCCTCCTTTGCATGCGTTTCATTTTAAGTGAGTGCTCATTTTGGAAATTTCAGAGGTTCTATGAGCATGGAGGTGAGATGCAAGTTGCTCAAGATGCACAATTAAGGCCTTCCATGGACATATTTGCAGTAGGGTGAGCAATCTAAGCTATAAACACTATTGCGGGGGCAGTTGTGTGAGAGGATTTTTCTAGTAACCATTTGCAACTAGAGCAAACAACTTGCATATGATGGAATGTCTTATTTTATTTCATGTTACTAGTTTATTCGCAAGAGTTAGTATGATTCAATTGAAAATGTTTTTAACTGGAATAGATCCTCCGATTTATGATAGGTTGTTTAGTGTGTAGTAGTGAGATGCAAAATTGCAAGTGTATGATAGTGTAGCCTTTGTTGTGAAGAAAAGAGAACCGAAACAAAGTAAACTGTTGTAGAGAAAACTTAGCTCTATGTGTTGTCAAGTTTCTCATTGTTCCTTTTAGGAGCTATAGAAAATGACGGTGTCCTGCAATAGTGTCTCGTGTCTTCTGTTCTACTGTCGAATCTCTCAACATCATTAGTG